AGTCCTCTCCAGATATGAGAACGAACTCTTGCATCTCTTTCAGACCCTCACTTGATCAGGACTACTCATTAATCATGGACAAACTAAAGAATCCTTATTTCGTCTTAGCAAACATTCATATAATACCGTAATCAACTACTTCGTGCAACATCTCAGTTTCTCCTCGTCGTTGTCACAGATAACAGTCCACACTTTGGTGCATATGCAATTGGCTGGTCCTCTGCAGGTACTTTTCACAAACACTAAAAAGGATAAAAGTATGTTTAAACTACTAAGCCGATGCTTAGTTAATTATGTTGCCCTGATTGTCCATAGAAGGTACAATACGTGTACACGTCGGCCGTAATCTAGCTGTCCCAGAGTTGCTCTGAGTCCAAAGTACCTCTGACGAATATTTAAAAATTCTACTTGCCTCCCGGACATCGCTCAAACGACTACTAAAACCTTTCGACAATCATGGTGTTCGGTGTCAGCTCTGTCAATTGAATGCTAACGTTTGGCTGTGCTTGTTAAAAGTGAAACAGGAGTGGAGCTGACAGAGAAAATAGCAAAAAATGCAAAACTAGTACGACTATCAGACGACTGAGTGACGCATTGCATTTGTCGGTATCTTGCTGAGGGACGACCGACGATATCGATCAAATGTAGTGCTGCTCCGCACAGCAACAAATGCGTGATTTGAAATTGCTGATAGATGTTCGGTGCTAAAGTTGACATTATCACTCATAAGATCTGCAAAAGCTTATTGAGTTCCTCAGTAAGTTACTTAAAACGTAAATCGATATAAAACTGAGTAGCCGACAGTGGCTGGAGAATCCGAACACAGATGCCTGATTTGGTGACCTGATAGCGACTCAAAATTATATTCCATTAGTTAATTACGTTGTATTGTCATACTACCTGAATCGAGACCGTACACTGTAGATATCTCCGTGAAAGCGACCAACAAGGCTCCTTAAATTTCACTGATTCCGGTGATGACCCAGCTTGAAGCGAAATGCTTGAACAGAGGGTTCAGTGAGATCGTGATATTTCGAGGCCATAGTTTGGAGGACAGGTCGGTTCGAAACGTGTCCTTGATTAGGCGCTAAATCAGTTAAGAATCGCTTTAGAATGACGACGGCTTACCAGAGGAACAGTTGTAGGCGATGATCGCCAGGAGGCTGATCTGATCCGCATTTTGAGCTGCCTTTAGTCGTCGTTTCCCGCCGTAATTTGATGCCGGTTTTTCGTTATTATGCGGCCTTTGAAACAGTGGTTCATCGTTTAGCTCCGGCTGACGGATGCTGTGCCGTCCGTGACGGTTTTGCAGGGGGAATTTTCGCGTCAGCGTCATCATAGCGAATGGCGTCGACAAGCCTAGGCCCTGGTCGTGGTGGTGGCAAACAGGAAGCACAATGGGCTGGTCGTTCGCATCGACGACGGCGTCTTAATCCGTAAGTTGTTGCAGTCTGTTTAAACGCATGGTTGGTGTTTGCTCAATCACGTTTAGAACACCTTTTATGTGCGCGAGTTCTAACACGCGCAACCTCGGTACAGATGTAGCAGGGAGTTGTCACTGGCAAGTTGCCAACGAAGAGGTAATAGGGAAAAGCGAGGTAACCTTCAAGGCATTTAGCTTAGTCGCGAACCCGGACAATATTCGTTTAAGAGGCAGCGTAATAATATGTCAAAAAAATCTAACAGTTCTCTATGGCTTAAAGGTACATCGGCCATTACCCTCCTTTGCAGAGCAACCGTAAGAAAATATGGCTAAAAACCAGAGAAGGGGGACTCGAAGCAACCACAGTTCGTATTAATCATCAAAGAGAGCAGGACAAGGCTTTTAGCAACCTGTTCACCTTCCCTACCTTCCCTAGAGATGATAGTGTTTTCAGATTTGATTGGCAAATATCAAGAAACCGAGAGAGAATTACCATT